GTAGCAGCTACGACCTTGACCTTTCAGGACTGTAGCAGCTACGACCTTGACCTTTCAGGACTGTAGCAGCTACGACCTTGACCTTTCAGAGTTGCTACAGCTACGGACTCTACACAACTATGACCCCCTAGTCGACAGACCTACAGATCGAACCCCCACTGCTACACAGCCCTACGACAAGCAACAGTCAACTACCAAAACAGAGATCACGGGTTCAAACACACACAGGGGACGACTTGATACTGTACACGGGTAAGGTGAGGTCTAGGGATCGAGCCCTGGGATCTGCATCTGTTACCGCAAAGGTGAAAAACCGTTTCACTTTAGAAGTTTTAACTTTTAAGCGTCTTCTTTTTGCCTTTGTGTTTTTGGCACGGTAAACTTAAAAGTTAAAAGTTTAAAGTTAAAACAAGTTGACTATTTTGATGCTTTGTCCTTTCTTTATTTTCCTTGTTCCCTTTGTCCCTTTTTTTTGGTTTTAACTTTTAACTTTTAAATGGTTGCATTCGATGAGTCAAAGGGTCAGGTCCGAAATGGTTGGAAATTTGAATGGGGAAAAAAAAAGACCATTCATTTATGGTTTCATGTTTTTTTTTTTTTGTTTGTTTTTTCTTTTCTTTTTTATAACAGATCTTTCTTTTTTTTTGGAATTATGCTTATATATTATCAATTGCAAAAGGAGGCCGGTTGGGATGAGGCAGAGGCAGAGCAGCGAGGTTGGGAGAGAGGGAATGCTCACCCAACTTGACGCAGACTCGACACAACTCGGTGGACGCAGACACAAAGTGGCAAAAATCGCAAAGTCGCAGTCTTGAATTCCCGAACACAATGTCGAAGCAAAGTGGCACTGAATACAAGCACTGAGGCTGAAAACTTGGTGCCCGTACTGCGCTTGAGTCCGTACTTAAGTACCGGACTCAAGTACGGTCCTGAGGGCGAAAGTGAAAATGCCTTAGGGCCAGAACTGAAAATCGAAAGTCTGAGAGTGGGCGCCTGAATGCCTGATGGTGCCAAGTGTCCGAAATCCGAAAGTAAAAAAAATAGGAATTTGAAAACGGGCACCAGGATGCGGATGGCAGCAACTGTCCGAAATCGGAAAAGCAAAAACAAAGTGAAACAAGAAAATCATACAGCAAGCTGGCGGGTGGTAATCCAGAGAGCAGGGATCGAGCCCTGGCGGAGTCTGTAACACCGGGAATCCTTCCACATCTATGGTTTCATGTGTGTTCGATTTCTTTGGGAAAAAGCCAATTTTATATTCATTTGAATCGAGATTGCTCTAAGTCATAAGTTTTTCTTTTTTTTTTCCCAGTCTCCTTTGAAGCTAAAATTGAAGTGTCTTCTTTCTTAATTCTTACAGTTCCTTGCACACATTTGTCAGAAGCTTCACAATTTCAGAACTATAGCAAGCAACATGAGGCACAATAGATTTTTTATATCCCTTTGTTGACTATCTTTACTTTGGCTTTCTTTGGAGTACAGTCCATTTGTTCTTGCAGCTCCCTTTTTCCTGTGCCTCTCACGTACAAGGCTGGCCGTGTTGATTGTGGTTTAGCGCCAGCTGACCACATCCCCTGTGTGCCTTAACTGCCCAAGTGCACACTATACAAGAGGAGGGAGGAAGGAAAGGGGTAGGGGGTGGAGTTCTGTAGGAAGCGAGGTGTGGAGGGAAGTGGAGGGGCAACGAACAGAACAGAGGAGGGAAGTGGAGGGGCGAAGAACCGAACAGAGGAAATACTAACTTCACACTGTTCACAGCTTCTCAATACTCACCGCGGGAGCAGACTACTTTAGACTAGCAGAAGAGGCTAGTCAGTGTTTGGGTTGCAGGATACTTTTGAGTTGAGGAGCAGCCGTTGCCTATGGTAAGTGGCCACCCCTGCAGGCCAGTCAGGACTACTTTGTGTGTGTTTCCGTCTGTCTGTGTGTTGTCATGTTCACTATACCCTACTCAAAAAAATCATGAAGAGTGTGTGTGTGTGTGTGTGTGTGTGTGTGTGTGTGTGTGCGTGTGTGCGTGTGTGTGTGTGTGTGTG